CCATCCATCCATCCATCCATCCATCCCACTCATCCATCCATCAATTCAATCCACCCACCCACCCATCCATCTATCCCACTCATCCATCCATCCAATCCACCCACCCATCTATCCCTCCATCCATCCATCCAATCTGTCCAATTCATCCATCCATCCATCCATCCACCCACCCACCCATCCATCCATCCACCCATCCAATCCATCCCTCCATCCATCCCTCCCTCCCTCCCTCCATCCCAGCACGTTCACTCTAATTTCGAAAGTATGCCAACCTGGTGAACCGGACTTCACAGATGTTACACATATAGGGCTTCTCCCCCGTGTGGGTCCTCATGTGCCGTGGGAGCTTCCCGGCCCCCATGATGATTTTGTTGCAAATGGGGCACTGCTGGGACGCTTTGGGCTTGATTTTCCTTTCTTCGGGCCAGCCAGGAAAGACCCGGCCGAAGTGGGCGGAGCTCAGGAAGTTCAGGTAGGCGCTGTAGTCGCTCTCGGCCTTCACGTGGCCCAAGGGGGCGGCGGCGGCCGCCGTGTTGGCAAAGACCTCCTTGAAGAGGCTGTTGGGGAAGGGGCTGGGCAGGGGCTCCTCCTTCTGCTCCTCCTTGATCTTCTGCTTTCTGATCACCAAGTCCAAGGGGGTGTTGTCCACCTGCTGCGCCTCTACTGGGGCGAAGGGGCCAAAGTCCCCGTTCCAGAGATGGGGGAAGAGGTCAGGCATGAAGGGAGACAGGACCGGCCTGCGTTCTGGAAGGGTCACTTTGGGGTACAGGTTCTCCCTCAAGAGGGACTCGATGGAGAAGTCTCGGAGAAGGCCCAGTGGGCCATTGGAGCTGCTGGATGGAAGACGGGTGGAGAAGACATTGGTGGCCTCCTGGAAGACTTCTTCAGGAAGATCCGGCTTGGACGGACTTTGGCGGCAGCTGAGGTCTTGAGCACCGGATCGATTCCGTTTGGCGAAGTCGCCCGCTCCTTCCTCCACCTCCTCCTCCTCTTCTTCCTCCTCCTCCTCCTCTTCCTCTTCTTCCTCCTCCTCCTCCTCCTCCTTCTCGCCTCCCGCCCCTTCCCCAGGCTGCATGATTTCGAGGCAGACGTTAATCACGCACTGGATCTCCAGCATCTTGGCCGCGTTGAGGATGTGCTTGACGTTGGCCGCCGTGATGGTCAGGGTGGAGGTGTAGGCGAACTCGAGGATGGCGGAAAGGGCTTCGGGCGTCACGAAGTCGATCTCGTAGATGTAGGGCTGGTCTGCCAACGTGCCGGCGGTGAAGAGTTTCTTAAAATACTGGCTACAGGCAGCCAGCACGGACTTGTGGGTGCGGTACTCCTGGTCTTGGACCAGGAGAATCACGTCGCACAGAAGGCCATCGTTCCGCTGCTTGTTGAGCCCGCAGAGGACTTCGCTGCTGTGGTTTGGGAAGGGGATCCCGATGAGTTCCTCAACGCCATTGGCCATATTCTCCTGCGGAGCCCTAGAAAGAGAGACGCAAACATAAGACGTAAGTCGAGTTTACTGACTTTACCAGTGGTTGGAATGCAGTATTGCAGGCGGACTCTGCCGACGGCCGGCAGTTCGATCCTGACCGGCTCAGGATTGATTCGGCCTTCCGTCCTTCCGAGGTCGGCAAAGTAAGGACCCAGGTGGTTGGGGGCCATAGGCTGACTGCTTAGAGAGGGTTGTAAAACACTCGGAAGCGGTATATAAGTCTAAGTGCTATTGCTACTGCTATTACTTTCAGCCAGAAAAGGCTACTGCTTTGCTAGACTAAAACATACGAAGAATGGCTGCGGGACTTGGGTTTGGCCAGTCTAAAGAAAGGAAGGAATAGGGGAGACATGATAGCAGCGTTCCAGTATTTGAGGGGCTGCCACAAAGAAGAGGGGGGGGTCAAACTATTCTCCGAAGCACCAGAGGGCAGGACGAGAAACCATGGTTGGAAACTGACCAAGGAGAGAAACAACCTGGAATTAAGGAGAAACTTCCTGACAGTGAGGACAATTAACCAGTGGAACAGCTTGCCACCAGAAATCGTGGATGCTCCATCCCTGGAGGTTTCTAAGAAGAGACTAGACAATCACCTGTCTGAGATGGTATAGATTCTCCTGCTTGACCAGGGGGCTGGACTAGAAAACCTCCAAGGTCCCTTCCAGCTCTATTCTATTCTATTCTATTCTATTCTATTCTATTCTATTCTATATTCCAATTTCTATTCCAATTTCTATTCTATTCTATTCTATTCTATTCTATTCTATTCTATTCTATTCTATTCTATTCTATTCTATTCTACTCTACTTTACTCCAGCTCCATTCCATGTTTTCTATTCTATTCTATTCTATTCTATTCTAATTCTATTCTATATTCCAATTTCTATTCTATATTCCAATTTCTATTCTATTATATTCTATTCTAATTCTATTCTATTCTATATTCCAATTTCTATTCTATTCTATTCTATTCTATTCTATTCTACTCTACTCTATTCTATATTCCAATTTCTATTCTATTCTATTCCATTCTATTCAACACAGCCAGCATCACACCCAGCTGCCCAAGCCCATGACTGTGGTTCCTGGTCTCCCTCCAGCCATTGATATTAAATCCTCATATTTAAGATGAAAGCAGGGGAACATTAAGAAAAAACACCTCTAATCAAGGCAGCTGCAAGCCATGCAATTTAAATCAAATCAACCGGAGTTCGTTCTTTTAGTTTCACCTGTTCTTGGGAACGAGGCCTCCGGCGTTTTGGCACCCAGAATGCGCCCGATGCCAAAAATAAATAAATAAATAAATAAAAGAACTGCGGAGGAAAATTAATATTAATTTGTTCTCTTGGCATGCAATTTCTCCAGCGCAAGAACGGGATTGCAAAGGAAAGCAGCAAAAGGCAAAACGCTCGAAAAGTTGTGTTTTTGTCGTTCTGGCTTCTCCAAAATAATAGCCTACCGTTGCTTTAGTCTGATCTTCCGGGACTTTCCGATGTTTATTAAGGAAGGTGCAGAACGCTCCTCGCCTGTGTCCTTCAAAGCCCTTCACAATTTCATTGCACACATACCCACACACACACCCACACACCCACACACCCCTTCCCTGGCATTTTCCCCTCCCCTTCGTGGCCTCCTCCATCTGCTCCCCCGCCTTCATTTGGAGGGTACCCATCAAACAGGACCACCTCCCACCGTTCTCCTGAGACTTTGGTCCCCACCTTCATTTCATTAACCCTCCCACTGAAACATCAAAACATCTCCCACATTCTGTCATTACACACACACACACACACACACACACACACACACACACACACACACCGTGCTTGAGGTTGCTTGGAGTTCACAACAGAAAGTTAGGAGCTACCCACGGCTTCTGTTTGAAACAATTCCAGAGGCTACTTTGAAGGGTGTCCGCTGAGATTCTCACCTCGTGGTTGACCCAAAGGGGCTTTTCAAAAATTAAGTGATTCCCCCAGCATTCAGTCAGAACTGGAAGAAGCTTCTTGGGTGAGCAGGGAAAGGTTTGAAACCGAGGAAGTCCAGTTCCCTTTTGAAAAGCCCCTGTGGGACTGCTTTTGGAGGGTCAGAGAGGAGCTGGGAAACTTGGTGCTTAAAGGGCCAAGAATTTAAAATACGAGCTGGTCGTGTGCAGCGGCAGCCAAAAAAGCCAATGCAATCCTAAGCTGCATTAACAGAGGGATTCAATCAGTATCGCGTGAGTTACTAATACCACTCTATAAAGCCTTAGTAAGGCCACGCCTAGAATACTGCATCCAGTTTTGGTCACCGCGATGTAAAAAAGATGTTGAGACTCTGGAAAGAGTGCAGAGAAGAGCGACAAAGATGATCAGGGGACTGGAGGCTAAAACATATAAGGAACGGTTGCTGGAATTGGGAATGTCTAGTTTAATGAAGAGAAGGACGAGGGGGGACAGGATAGCAGAGTTCCAGTATCTCAGGGGCTGCCCCAAAGAAGAGGGAGTCAAGCTCTTCTCCAAAGCCCCTGAAGGCAGGACAAGAAGCAACGGATGGAAACTAACCAAGGAGAGAAGCAACTTGGAACTAAGGAGAAACTTCCTGACAGTGAGAACAATTAGCCAGTGGAACAACCTGCCTCCAGAACTTGTGAATGCTCCAACACTGGAAGTTTTTAAGAAGAGGCCGGACAGTCATTTGTCCGAAATGGTATAGGGTTTCCTGCTTGAGCAGTGGGTTGGTCTAAATTATTATTATTATTATTATTTTAATTTCTATACCGCCCTTCTCCCGCAGGACTCAGGGCGGTGCACAGCATATTAAAACAGATACACATATCAATAAAAATAAAAACCCCTCTAAAACCAAATTAAAACCAAATATTCGAAGCTGTGTTCCAATTAAAATTATACTTAAAATCGTCCCTAAATAAAATCCTCCTTAG